TTGTTGCCTTACAAAAAAATAACAATCAGTGATGCTAGAATAATTTCTGAATATATTTGGAATATCCTTGAACTGAGATCATTTATTTTGAATTAATAAACTATAATAATTGTATTTTCTTCTTCTATAACTATTGATAGTTATCCTTGTACTTGGTAGGTTTTAATGTTCAATCGTTTTTTTTATTCATTTCGCAATTGCAATTGCATAACCTCGTTGGCCCCATCACTGGGTACAAACGCCCCATAAGTCGAAACTTGTGCGGGGTTAGGTATACATAAAAACACAAACATCCATCCAGACGATCCAGACGATGTTTGAGGCAGGGGGGCATAGGAAGTCACGACTCATTGAGGATAGCAACAAAGAGGAATTTCCATTGATACCTCCTGAGAAATAGTATATTATTCATCAACTTTATAATGAGGGCTATTATTCACGAAGGTGAATATTAGCTCATTATATGCGAGTAGAATACACTACTTTGTCCACGACTACTATTGTTTTGGACATATTAATTTATTTTCAACAACTGTTTTATAATAACTCATTCGACAGGAAAACTGAAAATTGAAAATACCTGTTATATCAATTATTTGTCCACGACTGTTGTACTTCCTCAAGCAAAACGATAGCCATTTTTCACTTTTCACACCAATGAATAATAGTGGTGAATAACCATTATACACTGATCTTAAGTTCCTTACATGTTATATCGCACTCACACCAGTGAATAATAGCAGTGAGATTTAACGTTTTTCTTGACGTAAGAAAATTTATGTTTGCAACTCGTGCGCGAAATACCATGTATGGTGAAATATGCTTTGGAATTCTTTTCCAAGGAAACTATAATCTTCAAAATTTATGAAAAAAATTCCAATACCTACCTCTTCTTATCCTTCCTATAGGTACGCACGATATGTTCTCCGAACATGAATTTTTTTCTTCGTGCGATCGAAGAGATAAAAACAATGACAGTTTTCTTGCACAATGAAACGGTGATTCTGACAGCCATTTTTATACTGAAATAAGTTCAGGTGCGTCATTTTACTGTAATTATACCAGGGGGGTCAAGAAAATGAGGATTTTTTTTTATATGATGAATGACGCTTTGGAATTCTCTGCCGAAGGAAGAAGGTATTCCCAAGATTTTATAATCTCCAAAAGTTCTGAAAAAAGTCCAATACCTACCTCCTGTTCCTTTCATCCCTAAGTACGCACTATATTCTCCGAAGATCAAAGAGATTCCCTTTCGTGCGCTCCAAGAGATAAAAAATTCCCAACGAATCGAAAATTGGATTTCTTGGACTTTGGACAGTGAAACAGAGATTTTGGTAGCCATTGATACTGGATTAAGTTCAGGACTGTCATTTCATTGTATCTGTATACCAGAGGGAGTTCAAGAAACTGAGAAAACATTTTTGTATAGTGAAAAATTCGCCACAGAATACAGATGAATACATGAATACGTTTGTTTTCTCTAGATATCCAGATCAAATTAGAAACATGGGCCACAATTCATGGTTTAAATCATAGAGTCTGCTGAATGATTGTAAGAATGTACAGAGAGGGGTCAATTCTTTTCTCGATACATGATTTTTTTTTGTAGTTTTAATTCAATCTAGCGAATTACGAAAATATATTCAAATTTGTTCTGTACCATAACGGTCGTAGATGTGTAAAAACTACAAGAGAAAAAATAAAGAATTCATTTGGTATTCCAAAAATCTACCAGCAGCGCACCAAAAAAGTATATGAGGTGTCACTAAAATTCCATTTGAGAAATATCTTTCAAAGTGGGGTCTGGGCGCCTCTGGACGTATTTTCTATTGGAATCAAAATGTAGCACTTGAATATATGTATTATTCCAGATTTTTTGAGATTTTCTCTCCTCGTTTCTATATAAAATAAAAATATGAATATTATTTCAATATACGTGTAGTAAGGACAAATCAGATGATTTGCCCCAAAATGTCACTGCGTTCAAAAATGTTCCTATCAGAGAGCCTAAAACAAAAATTCACTAGCTTGTCAGTGACAATTTTTATTGAAAAAGGTTTGGAGAAGAGAAATAAAGGAATATAGAGAAAATATCAAATTTTAACTTAGCTTTGGACGTTTCGGGAACGAATCTGCTTCCGTTTTCATTATAATGGATTTTTTGTATCGTAAATTCGTATTTGTCCTGACACTTTTCAGTTCTCAGTCAGATTTTTCTTCGTATCACGCTTTGTATTCGATAAACAAACATTCAAAAAATAGTTCGTTCTACAAAACTATAAATTCAAAAGTATGGTGAAATGTCATGGGCTGGGCATTATTTTGTGTTATTGTGAGACATTTTTCTGTTGAAATAATGAAATATCAACAAAACCCGTAGATTATTTGGTTCAGTAGGTTGAGGTCACTGAAAAAGCAGAAGCGGAAACTCCATCAAAGTCTAAATTTATATTCAGAAGTGAGAAATGTCGGTGTGAATAAAAATTCCGAAAATAATTTGTTGACCAATTTGAAAACATCATTCGCCGTGGGACAAACAAATACCTAATTGTGCGTTTCACTGCAATTTCCTGACATAACTTTTCTAAATTCGATTAATTAGTTGTATCGTGGTTGTTTTAATGGAAACAATTGTTAAGAGGATATATGCAAAAATTTTCAAGGTCAAACTATTTGGCTGAAAACTCGTGTATATGTAATAATTCAAATAATCCACTTCCTGACCTGATGGTCAAGTATCGTGTACGGCCGATAACGATGGTTCATTCATTCCAAAATGTTGATTTCGTTATATCTACTTGGATTTTTTTTTGAGATTTTAAATCTCTTCTACTCGTCTTTCATGAATCTTTCATATTTATCATATATATTAGGTAATAGCTTATTGTGATCGCACCAAAAGAGCTTTATATAAAGCCATATTAAACAAAACGTGCTTACAAACTGTGACAATTTGACAAGAAATAATTATTGTAGGTATAGCTGATGTAGATGTCAAAATGAGCCGCTTTGTGTAATAGTCTAGCAAAATACCACTCTATCGTGGATATATATTCTCATTATCATGTCTTTTATGGCGAGTTGTTGTCGGACAGCTAAGCAACAAATTGCGTGAACAACAAAGCAACAGAAGAGTATCTCGAATTCTTAACAAATATATAGGGTGTATTTAAATAACACCGAAAAAATTCAAGAGGTGATTCTTTATTGTGATATTTCAGTTCATATAAACTTGTGTCCTAACTTGCTTCGTTTTCGAGATACAGGGTATTAATATTTTCTTGAAAAATCTTTTGTCTATTCATTTCTCATTTGTCTTTTCATCAATTTCCATAAAACGCGTGGTGGTTTTGATGATTCTGAATTTTGAACTACCCTGTATTCGTCCAAATTAAATATCAGTGATAGTGAATCCAAAGTTACGATATCCCTACCCTATATCTCTGTAATCATTCTTGCTAGACCCAAGTGTGATGCATTGATGAAATCGCAGCTCACAAAGGAGAATCCGAAAATGTAATAAAATACAGGGTGTCCTATAATTAAAAGTATAACTTTCATACGCCACGCATATTTGAGTATACGCAAAGTAATTCAGAAATATGCTTCTCATTAGACCATCACGAAAATTTTTATTCATCTATGTCAAACAGCGAAGTCGTTATCTCACTTTCCCATTTCAATGACTCACCCTGTATATGTTATCAATTATAATTAACATTGACGAAAAAATGCTTTCGAGACAAGTGACAGTATAGTGACACACACTTAGACAGTAAAACACTGCTGCCAACAATAAATAGCACAAAATGTCTGGCTCTTTTCTTTCTTCTCAAATGAAAGTAATGTCATAATTAATATTCACATATTTGCAATAGACTTCTCTTCTCAAGTGAATGTAAAGTATCCAGATTTTTGCAATAGATTATGGAATAAATAACTGGCAAGCTGAAATGCCCTACCAAATTTCAAATATTGTTCAATTTCTCATTGATTTTGTGTAGAATAGGAGTGACTGAAAACTATTTCGCCATCTATTCGAGATAAAGGCTTTTAACTGACAGAAACTTTAGTCATCACTGGAATATTTATCAGAAATCTAGTACAATTATTAATCATTAATCCTATCAAAGATTACAGAATGCTGCTATTTATTTCATGGGCATCATGATTCTGATTTTTTTCAACAATTGATTCTACGTTGAACTCTCCTGAAACCATGCACACAAAAATGTATTTTATTTAAAATTTTTTGAAAAATCATTCATTACATTAGTTGAGATATCACATAATGCATACCTACTTAAATAAGTAAGCAAACGACAAATTTTCCTATAATATGAAAATTGGCGCCCTCAGCAATTTGACAATATCAACGAAATAATGCATCAATAACAAATTAATAAATTATTTACAATAGACTGATGAGTAGTGAGGAACTCATTTGCTGTTATGAGTGATAGTTGTTGGATGTCGGATGAAATAAAAAAAATTGAGTGGAAGAGGAAATCTGAATCCTTAACCTCATTGAGATATTTTCATTCAATGCAGAGACAGAATTTGAAATATTTCACTTGCTCTTCCTATTCTTTTTATTTTCATATCGTTTTATATCAATTACAACAAACTGATAAGAACATGAAAATGAATATAATATAATACAATATAAAGGCATTTGACCTTGAATCCCAAAAAATTCGCCTGCAGCGCATTTTTGTCACGACTCATTTTCTGAGTTTCTTGACCCCCTGGTATTTACTGAAATGACGCTCTTGCTATATATATGAATGATAATCAAATGAATTACCTGATATTATTGAAATTCTCTGAAAAAAATAGATGATTATTTCATGTATTTTTCTTAAACTAATTTAACACTTATTGATAGTGATTTTTGTTCACCAATATAATGAGATGAATTTGTACAGATTTGATATTCAATAAAAATACACCTATTATATTATTTATGAATTTATTTAAAAATTATACTTCATACCAGAATTTGATTTTGACTGGGACTACTGGGAGTAATATTTTGATCAAGATTTTGATTGAATAAAATGAAATTGTATTCTATCAACTCTAAAAATACATGAAAATTGTGTGGACTGTTTAATACATTCCACATAGTTCTCCAACTGTTTCTCACATCAAGTTTTTTTTAAAATATATGCCACATAGTTCTCCAACTGTGCCTTATATCAAGTTTTTGGTGCACAACTTTGCTGCAGAGTATCCAGAGAAGTCCAAATGTAACCTGGATCAGCAGGAGCACTAACTGTAGGATAAGGAGTAGTCCTGGATTTGTAATAATCTGAGGGAGCATGCATCACGAACTCCATGCAATCCAAACTCCTTGAAATGTCTTCTTCTGGACCTACACAAAACCACAAATTCAATTAACACCTGTCTGAATTTGGAAATAGCTTGTTCATTCATCATTCTATTCAAACTATCTCCTAACCTATGATGTATGTAGCAGGATCAAATTCTTCATTCGGAGGTGGACTCTCCTGAGTGGGAAGTAACCATGTGATAACTGCACTTTTGTTACAATACTGGTCAGTCATCAGAGCCTTGATCTGTGCATAATATGTATCTTCCTCAGAATCTCTCATAGAGACAATGTCTCCTACTTGCATATAACTTCCCTTAAAATCAACATTACAAATTAACCATATTTTATGGACTATTCTACCAAAAAATAGGTAAATTATGTTGAGCCTGGCGCTCGTAGTACCTTATAGAAAACATATTCACTAGTGACAGTCGTGGCAACAGAGGCAGGCGCTTTAACGGGGGTCCGTTTTGTTAGAGCTCGTCTGCCTCTTCCCTTGGGTGCAGATATTTTCGGCAGGGCGAACGGATTCAGTCTGGTTTTGTAGGACCTTGTGGCTCTGGGTGGCTTCTTTTTGGTCGGTTTGGGTTCTTCTTCATCGTCCTCTAGGTCGGTTTTCAAATTGCTCTTGGTCTCTTTCACGCACTCTAGGCAGATGGCTCCAAGATTCTCGGCGTTCGTCCATAAAGGGGACTCGTTCGCTTCGCATTTCAAGCACACCAGAGGTCCCTTGAATGGCATTGCAATCAATCTTCAATCCTTATTGCTTAAGATTTCAGTCTCATTTCAGTATTCCAATTTGTTTATATAAATTAAATATAAATATAACCTCAGTATTTCTTCTCTTCTTCTTCTTCTTTCTATTCTTACTAATCTTACTAGCATCTACGGACAGGAGGAAAATAATAATCATTGCGGTGGAGGAACGCTACAGCGCGGAATTGCGGGTTCTGATCACTCAAGATGGAAGAAAACTTGAGAAAAATCACTCGACCGCCTACTATGATTTCTCTACGTCACATCGAGCGAGACGTTCATTCTACATTTTTCCGCTAGATGGTAATGCTGCAATTGCTGCTCAAGGTTTGCTGCTGTGACGAGTGGAAATAAAATGGCAAATGGCATTTTAGGTACGCGGATAACAGTGGGATTATTCAACTCTGAATTCGAAAAATCTGCGGCAATTCAAAAAATTGGCAGATGTCATAATTGTGCAATGTCGCCATCTATTGGGGATCGACGGAACTATTGCTGTCGCTGTTCTGGATCAAGGATTATAAACTCTCCTTGGTTCTGGATGAGGTCGAGTAAAATTTCTGAAACAAAAGCGCATCAGTAATTATACCATATCTTACTTCCATCATTGATCACCCCAACAAATATCCTATATTGGCGCAGAATCAAGTGTAGGTACAGAAAATTTACTGAAAAAAAATCATTGAAATAGCGAATCACTATCGGCCTCAACAGTTGATGCCTCCACACCACACAGTACATTTTTCAATGAGGAACGAAATTATCCCTCCTGCATAAGGAAATAAACTACATTTTTCAAAACAAACTAACCTTTCTCGGCCTAAATGAAAAAACCGTCCGTCGCGGGCATTGAACCTGGGTCGTCGCCATCGTGGGGCTCAAATAATGCTCAAGCAACTACGCCTCGAACGTACCTGATGATTACTGTATGATAGCCGCTGTGGTCCATGTAATAAATTATTTCATATGACATTAGGAAGGTACTTCGATGCCATTCAATACAGTCCTTGAATTTCTCAATTCTATTGTTAAATAATAAGCGAGATTGCCTGTATTCGATAACTTGAGACACCCGATAGAAAATTTCATCTACTCCAACTTTTTATTGGGTGGTCTTTTCGCTGAAATCTATGTATAGTTTCCGATTGGTGGAGTTACGGGCAAAAAACTGAAGGAAATTTCGTGAAAAGACACCGCACGTTTTATAGGGAAAATTGGCATCCTGATGTCGAATTGGCTGAATTTTTGATATGTTATAGTCCAAGACATTCTGAACAAAATGGCGCTAGAGGCGCTAGAGGCCGCTGAAATCTCAATCTTGATTTCTTTTTCCCTATAAAACGTGCGGTGTCCTTTGAAGTTTTTAACAGAAGTTACCTTGGTTGCAGGCATCTTTACTTTATCATTGTTTTGAAGTAATCAAATATCTGTCAGTCTAGTTTTGTGATTTCATTCAAAAAAATTGCAAACTTAGTGGTTGTATAGTAATTTACGTAACCGCGAAGTGGAATGGAAGATAAAAGGACTCGTAGATCCTTCTAGGAGACGGGAAAAAAGTAATTTATGAAAAGTTGCATTTTATAACCTGTCAACAGATATAAAATGTCAAACATTTTTCCCGTTACAGAAAAATAATATTATTATTACCACGGGACTTATACACGTAGAGTGAAGCCTCCGGATATAATCTTGGTCCCTGGGTAATAATGATAATCTTCACTACCTAGGTGTATAAATAATTATTTTGTGGTTCACTAGTGAAGTTTCATGATCATGATGTCGGTCTTGCGCGAGATGAGTAGGTATTCATATAGCGTATGAAAAATAATAAGCGTTTAAGTTTATACATATTATATTGTCGGCAAAAATTAACATACCATGAAATGGCTTCTTTAATATAGTACGGTACTATAATAATAAAAATTCTCTAGCAATAACAATCTACAGGATACACCGTTAACAATCTTAATTCTTTTATATTTGACGAATGATTTTACAAAAACCATTGCTATGTTATTATTGTTGCTAAGCATAATATATATACGAAATAAAGAAAAGTAATGCTTTTTAGTTTGGTCAACAACAATAAAAACACCGAACTATATATCATGTGATGTAAAGAATTACGACAGCAGGTACTAATTTACAGAAGGAAGAAGAACTGAAGGCATGCGAGTTGATTAGATTTTTTTCTTAATCATATACCTATATAGCTGAAATGATAAAACACATACTTGATCAGAAAAAAATATAAAATAGTAAAATGTTTCCTTATAGGTTCATATATAGGCTATTTATCATCAAAATATACCTACAGAAAGGTGGATAAGTAGGTATATTTCTCATCACTCATTTCTCAAAATTTCATAAAGCCTATGTGAGTCATTTTTGAATGCATCGCATGCATATCTTATAACAGCTATCTCCTGTTGATTTTTCTTTTCCATTCTTCATCAACATATTTTATATTTTCTGATTTATGTGCATCACGCTTTCTATAAGTATATCTCAGTATAATAGATAAATATTTTTGACTCTTTATTGAATTATATGATGAAATAATCAGATTCTTTAAACATTCGAATTGTGTCATATAAGTTTCTTCTCTAAAACGATACTCGCGTATTGATGAATTTCTGGGCACCTGTCATTTCCCAACCCCCAAAACTTCTCAGAATTATTAGGCAATAATTATACGCCCTGTTATTTGAATACGTTTTCAGCAGATCAGAGATGTACAGACGTGGATGAAAAATCTGTTCACATCAGTATAGTGGGGTGGGACTGTTTGAAAACTTGAACTAACCTAAGCATTAGATGTTTTTGGATGGTCTCATACATTTTTTTTTGATAAAACTGATAAACGCGAACATATCAACAATTTCATTGATATAATAACTTTTCAACAAGATATAGTGCGTATTCACAATGTTATAACAATTTCAACTATAGTTATAATCTAAATCACTAGTTTCTAGAAGATGTGGTAGGTATATATATATATATTTATATATTTATAATAGTATTTATAGGTTATAACAAGTTATATAAGCTGAAGATTGAATTATATGATATGCCTATGAGCTACTGGACTAGTTTTCTGTATTTTAATGTATAGTATATCTTGTTCGCACTTTCGCACTACATATTCTTCAAGGTGTTTGTCCAAAATCTCCATTTTTATCACTGATATGCTAAAATAAAATTGAGAATATAATGTAATTGTGGATGTAAAGGTAAATAAACTTATACCTAGCTAACACACATGATAATCGTGAATGAAAAATGTAAAAGGTAAACTATCGAATACAATGATAATATCGAGAGGATATATACTTCAAGAACAATGATATTTCCTTGATAAATCCGATAAACAATCGGTGACGAATCACAGCAACTTTTTTAATTACATATCATAAACCCATTCGAATTTGAATGCAAAAATGTTTGTATCTAATATTATCTGTGATATAAAATATTGAATGCACCTACCATATAGGTGCATAATTTTATTAATTCAAATGGTAACGTTAGAAAATAATACCTACTGAGATTATTTCGAAATAATTCGAATATTAACTTCAAGTTCGGGAACGAAACACATTCTAATCAGAAATATACAAGATAATTCTACAGAATACAGAATAGATAGAGTGTTCTTTTGATACAGACAAAAATCGATCAGCTGACAAATAGGAAATGTTATACCTACTAGTTTTTGATTCCACTATATCAAAAGTCTCTCGAAATACAATTTGAAACACTGAGAACAGAAAAACACCCAAGTATATACATAGGTACATCTCATATTTCTGCATTGAGTATTCAAACATAATATACTTAATCATCTTTTTTATAAAAAAACAACATATAGGTACCTACTCATACACAATAAATATTAAAATTTTAAAAAATTGAAAACTGTGCAAATACCTAGATCACATCATATTATATTCACAAATTAGATTTTTTTCAAGATATGTTGTGCAACATCAGAAACCTGAATCCTCGTATTCGATGACTGGCTGATTTAAAAACACTTTCAGCAATTTCTAATGATTATTATTGTTCAAGATACGAAGTTCTGACAGTTCATACTGTACATGGTGTAAATTTGAGAACGAAATTCGAAACACATTTGTGAGGATAATAAGTTTAGTGTAGGTACAGTCGCCTTCAGAGATCATGTCGCGGTTGGACGGTGTCAGCGCTCTTATTGCAGGAGTTATTAAGATTGCTATAATCGTCCATATGCGATATGTTTTCTGAAGACGACTGTACCTTCTTCGAATATGAAAAAATGTTTGTAGAATTCACCTAGAGTTGGGGTTGTCATTCAAAATTTTAGGGGTGGGTGCCCTATGGGAGTCAGAGGGGGTTGAAAGTGATACGAACAAACTACAGAGTTGTCCCCCTTGATATATATATCATTGATTTGAGAAATATCAATGTTCGTTTTCAAATTTACACCCTGTATAGAAACACTCAGCAAATTTGAATTCCTCAAGAATGTAATGATATATATAGTTGAATGCACAATAATTTGAATTGGTGAAATGTGTTGAGATTCAACTTATTTCATGTATGTATACTACTTTCAGTAGAATATACCAAGTAAAAACAAATATGTGAAAGCACCAATACATTTATGATGGGACAGGTACATAAAACCTACAAGTGATATTTTTATACACTTGAACTTTGTACGATATGACGACCATTTTTGTAAAATAAGTTTGCCTACTGAGTAGATCAAGCATATGAAAAACAGCGAACGCATAATTCGAACATGTCGATCAGGAAATGAAAAAAGTGATGATCCATCGCTGAAAAGTAATGGTTAGAGTTCCCAAATGTACTTGACACTGCTGTTTTGACATTTTTTGTATATTAGAGTACGAATGCTAGACAAGCAGTAACAATCAAACATAATCACAAACGATTTTGAAGCAAATCATATGTTTTGCCAGAATATGTTTTTCGCTTAGATAAAGGACCCTCGCATCTTCCTTCCTCCACAAGTCCTGGAAGAGTACATTCGTATATATCTTTCTCTGCCTTTGATTTTTGTATGAGAGTGCATAGCGTCTCCTCGAGTGGGTTTAAGGGTACGATAAATTGATCAGAAAATTATTTTTTCTCGAAATATTGAATGATAAGGCTGAAGGACCTCAATTGAGGTCAATACCAACGAAATACATATACTATTTCTATGAAATTAGTATCTTTTATGTAGGTATATATATACACGTTCAGCTGAATATTTTCTTATCACAAAAGTTCAGAATGGGGTAAAAACTGATAAATTTCAACCAATGAAACATACTTTTATTTCGTATGAAACAATTTCACTTGTTCAAGAGTGCTAGGTAATAAGTAATCAATAAATGAACAAATGATGTGGCAACAATAACAGCTATAGATCGCCGTTCACATTGCTATTTTTTTCTTCTATTTCTTTCCTGAATTCCTCACTCTCTTCCACGCGTAAACCTTGGATTTTTAGCATTCCTGCTCTAAAAACTAAAAAATCGATTCCCAAGTCTTTTTCTTTCAACATATGTTCGAAATGAATTTCATTATCTGCAAGTTTTTCGTTTCTTGTTGGTTCTAAATTGGAATAAGGTTATTTTCGATACTCGCTCAGTTTATAAATTGTGGGTTCAGCTCTTCCTCTCAATACTATTCTTCAACATCAAATCTTCCGTTCTGAAGTGTACCTCATGTACCTGATAGAAATGCGTTGAAAAATGTTCTATATCCTACCAAGAAATTTGAATACCTCTCAAATTTTGAAGCCTGAACCTATATCCCATGCCGGTCGCATCATATTCTGTTTCCATTTTTGTAGAATTACGTTATCCGATAGAAATTCGAATAGGGTGAATTGATTTCCCGTGTTCTCATAGTTGGATACTGCACAAACTTGCATCTTTCTTCTTATTCTCTCAATTTGTCAAACCTTTGAAATTTATGTCATGTACGTCCGTGTACTGTCTGTTCCCGGTTTTTCCATCAATTTATTCGTGGTTATGTCTGATTGTCAGTGCTTCTCATTCGCGGGAATCAATGTCACCAGGTGGCGCTCGGTTTTCATCGTGCCATGTCAAAGCCACGTCAAAACTGGGGGAAAACAAACTCAATCCTCACTCAATCCCATTAGTGCCATTAGCTTGTGTACTGTAACTGTATACTGATAAGAGTGATAAGTTTTCAAATTTCTTGACATTAATTGTCAATATTTAGATGAAAAAAGCCGACTAGTAGTGGAAGGAGAAGCAGTTCTCCGTGTTAATCATGGGATTTTGTGTGAAGTAGGAAACTTCAACAAAAGGTACATTTTTGCACTTTGTCTACAAACTTCGGCGATGAAATCTTCCCCACATGGAGTAAAATTGAAGTTGTGGCCCAGAGGAACTCCTGTAGAACAATGAATTTGTATTTGTGCATGCAAAGCAGGACAATCTGGGTATTGTAAACATTGATTTGCTCGTCATAATCAGTTTGAATTGTTTGAACTATCTCCAATTCTTCACCCGTTCACTGTTCACTAAACTAATTAAAATGTAATAATGTAAAAAAATTAACCAACTCAACCATCATCACTACCAACAGTGCCAACACTTTTTGTCATTGACAAGTTTGACTACAGCTACAGCAAGCTGAATGCCATGTAGTCTATACACTTTATACATAGTTTGTTTTCCCCCAGTTTGAAGTTCGTATTATGTAACCTAGATGTCGCCCACTTCGTGAATCTCGCGAATAGTGTCCGTACTCTAATATACAAAAAACGTCAAAACAGCAGTGTCAAGTACATTCAGGAACTCTAGTAATGGTCAATGGATATATTTTGTGAGGTGTGACAAGCATCAAAATCTGATGAAAATTGATGTTAGATAAATGTCTATTGGAATTTTACGAATACATATTATTTTGCGTAACATTCAAGTATTTTTTCCAAAACTCACTTTTTTGGATGAAATAAATCAACAATAGGCACTTAATCAAAAATCCATAGGACTTTCGCGTGCCAAAACAATGTGTGTACTTATTATTATTATTTTTATGTACATGCTTTCTACACAATTCTCTACCTTTGAGGTATCTACAATCTAGATATGTATATTTCACTATCCTAATTCATTAGCCTACAGTGCAATATATTTCGGGAAGGTTTTTGGTTACCTGGAATTGGACTGATCATCAAAGTAATTTTACCAGATCTGCTTATTGCGTTGACAAGATATTTTTTCTCGTCGTAGATCAGTCCAAATCAAAACGTATCCGCTATGTTGAATGCATTTGTATATATAGGTATTTATCATTTCGGTATAATTATCAAAATTTTCTTTACAAAATTGTCTAATACAACACACTGCTGTTAATACCGATTAACTTATCAAAAGAAGAAAACCTACTTCAAACAATATTATTTCGTGTTTATTTCCAGTTGTACGAAATGACCCTTCATATAAAAAACAGTAGTTCAAAAGTTCATTAAAAGATACTTCATTATTGCTATCGTGGTCAGGAAAATTACTACACATACTCAAAATATTAAGATACTCGCTTATATTATATGCATATCATATTCCTCTATTATGACAAAAGCAACCACTATACCCAGGTGCCCTGGAACTTTTAGGCCAGCAGATAGTAGGTTATCTAGGACTATATTCCGAATTCAACTGACACTATACTTAATCTGCTGATTTTTCATTCCGAAATCAAAAAAGTGACAGATACTTGTGAGCAGACAATGATAGAAAACAACTGGTCAAAATAAATGACACTACATCGGGACTCAGAACCGTGATCCACGGAGTTCCACAGGGCTCTGTCCTCGGACCTTTACTTTTCATCATTTATGTAAATGATATTTGTCAGCACATGTTGAAAGAAACTAGCACTATTCTTTTCGCAGACGATACGTCATTCATAAATACTTCTTCAGATTTTATTGGCCTCTCGATTTCAGCTGGGAATTGAATTGACGTTGCTAGAAACATCGATTTTTCTTTGAATATATAATTGTTTCAAATGACAATACATAGGAAATCAATTTGAAAAACCAAAGTGAGGAGTGGTTTCTAGTAGACTGTTCGACACAAGGGTGGTTTGGTCATGTTCGATCTCACCGTTTTGAAAACCTTTTGCTACCATAAATTCCAATCATTCTAATTTTTTGTCCGTTATATAATCCAGACAATGCTGGCCTGAAAGTTCTGGAGCACCCCGTACCTATAGAGGTTTAGCCGAGCCAATCATACGGAGCAATTATGAGAGTTTTGACCAATATACCCCCACCATCACATGGAATGTAAGCTCCCCCTGCTCTTTGCTTTCATAGAAGGGAACTAGTGGTGGGGGAAGACTCAGTTACAGCTATGACTACTAATAATCGTAGGAATCGATAATCATACATATATTATCTGCGAATACCATTTTACACTAAGAAATACTATATTGGAAGTCGATATTTTTTTATTCTTTCTTGCCCATTGATCATAGAGCAAAACTCGGATTCTTTCTACAGAATTCTTAAATGATTGAATTCAGGAGTGTTTCTGTAGGGTCGATTATTCTTTTAATGGATTGTGTCAAAAGAATAACAAGTGCAATTTTTTTTAACCTCTGATCAATACTCTCCGCTATCGAGGGCAATACCTTCCAGCAAATCATTTGATATGTTTAAATTAGAACCCGAGTACAAGATTGTAGAAATCTACAGTTTCTCATTTCTATTTATAATTTCCTTGATTCAAGAAATTTAGGCGTATATTCATGGTCTTTACAGGGTGACTCATGGTCTATGATAGGTTAGACGTTTATGGAGAACGCAACGTACGATTGATCTGAAAATTTCGCATCTTACATTTTATCACCTGGTCTATGGATTTGAAATATTTTCGAAATTGCGACTTTGCCGCTTCTTTGAAAAAGTCCTAGCAACTTTTAATGGTTTGAACGTACCCTAGTCTAGTCACACAGTCTTGCCACTTCGTGCGTAATATGCGTTTTACAACTCTTGTTATGTGATATACTATTACGTGTTCGTTAACTTGGAGTTGTACATACAGCGAGTACTTCAACTCTCTAATATGAAGGCTCCATACGCTATTTTCTTTGAGTTGAGGTCGCAACGCTTTAACCCATGGTGTAAAATAGGCGGATTTATGTAGCAACACAGTACAAGGTCAGAGGAAGACGACTGAAACGAGACGAGTGTCAATGATAGCTTAGACAGCGTGAGATGAGCGGGAGCTCAACAACACTCAATCGCCAACTAATGCTACAGTCCTATTTCGACTTTGCGACATACCTAGTCACTGTTTCTGATTTCTGAATGCATAGATTAGATGTGTTTGGCAGTGGTAGTCAAACGTGATAGTTAATTTGTGATCCATCGTACCCAGTTGCTTGGTTTCGAGGAGCCAAAAAGGGTCACCAGGATTCACAAAGTATTCAATCAGGGATGATTCCACATCTGAAGGAAATGTGAATGATATTGGTGAACGGCACGGATTACCATAATGAGAAACTGTTAACATAAAAGGTAGGATCCATCCTTTTGGCAATCGAATTATATTGGTTTGCTGTATATTCTTTCGCCCTTTTGGGGATAGTATATTGTATTTTAGAGATATCAGTTAGAAGTGTTCATTATGGACTTGACTAGACTATTTGCGTTTCGTATTTCTCAAATCTGTGTGATGGGTGATTGCCAACTGTTTGTAAAATAAGAATAAGTAGTAACTAATAAATTTTTGTGTTTCTACTGTCCATGTATCTTTATTCCAACACCAAATCCACTTTCTTTGAAGAGTTTATGAAACTATACAAAATTTGAAACGAATCCAAGACAGTTTAGTTGGAACGTGTCCATAAGGTTGTCTCGGAACGTGCCTAGGACGATGTTGTTGAAACGTTCCATGAAACTTCATTGAAGTCGGACATTTACATCATCTGGAACGTTTCTGAAACTTCAGAGAGACTTGAATGGAAAAGTTTCAGATATCCGAAATACATTTCTGAAATGTTTCTGATACTGAAATATGTTTAGTGGGGATGTTCCTACTGGATCATAAAAATCAGATCAGTGACGTCAGATTACGTGATCTTTATAATTTTTTGAGCATGTTGAGCTTTTCAAACGAACTGGCATCAATTGTTGAATGTTGCTGCATAAATCCACCTTAGTGTTACGCTGATACAGAGGTCCCTTCAGAAGGGACACTTGATGTACTTGTACTCGAACATGAGTGATACGGTGACGAACACAAAGTAAAGTAAGAACATGGTGAAACCGAGCCCTTTGTTCATCTTCCAGCGGAAGCAGGCGATGGACATGATCACGAAGAGCAGCATCATGAAGAGGATCGTTATCGAGCATACCATGCCCACGGAGTTCACTTGCACCGGCTTGCCGTATATGATGCCAAACAGCAACCAAGGCACTGGTAACCTAGAAAAAAAATGCGTTAGCAACAACCCTTTCGCTACGACGGCGGGTTGGAGAGTTTTTTAAAATCTCGAAATATGGAGAATAGAGAATTACTTCTTGAAATCTTGAAATTTTGGGAATATATACAGTGTGTGCGATTTCAACCCGCAACAGCTTCCTCATTTGGATCCCGTCGACCGATTTTCAAGAACAAAAATTCCATAATATAGGTGTCTATTCGAAAATGTTAACAGATCTGAAATATTTCAAAACTTTCACACGAATCTCTCAATTCTTGTAATTTTCAGGAATTTTTGCAATTTTTACAATTTTCAGGAATTTTTGCAATTTTTGCAATTCACAGGAATTTTCGCAATTTTCAGGAATTTTTGCAAATTTTGCAATATTCAGTAATTTTTGCAATTTTAAGGAATTTTTGCAATTTTTGCAATTTTCAGGCATTTTTGCGATTTTTGCAATTTTCAGGCATTTCTGCGATTTCTGCAATTTTCAGGAATTTTCACAATTTTCAGGAATTTTTGCTATTTCTGCAATTTTTGCAATTTCCAGGAATTCTTGCAATTTTCACAATTTTCAGGAATTTTAGCGATTTTTGAAATTTTCACAAATTTTCGCAATTTTCAGGAATTTTTGCAATTTTTGCAACCTTCAGGAAATTTTGTAATTTTTGCAATTTTCAGGAATTTTTGCAATTTTTGCAATTTTCAAAAATTTTCGCAATTTTCAGTAATTTTTGCAATTTTTGCAATTTTCAGGAATTTTTGTAATTTTTGCAATTTTCAGGCATTTTTGCAATTTTCACAATTTTCGGGCATATTTGCGATTTTTGCAATATTCGGAAACTTTTACAATTTTCGTGAATTTTTGCAATTTTCAGGAATTTTTGCAATTTGCAATTTTCAGGCATTTCTGCGATTTCTGCTATTTTCAGAAATTTTCACAATTTTCAGGAATTTTTGCTATTTCTGCAATTTTTGCAATTTTCAGGAATTCTTGCAATTCTCACAATTTTCAGGAATTTTAGCGATTTTTGCAATTTTCGGTTATTTTCGCAATTTTCAGGAATCTGCAATTTTTGCAACTTTCAGGAATTTTTGCAATTTTTGCAATTTTCAGGAAATTTTGCAATTTTCAGGAATTTTTGCAATTTTCAGGAATTTTCACAATTTTCAGGAATTTTTGCAATTTTCAGGAATTTTTGCAATTTTTTTCAATCTTCAAAAATTTTCGCGATTTTCAGTAATTTTTGAATTTTTGCAATTTTCAGGCATTTTCGCAATTTTTGCAATTTTCAGGAATTTTTGCAATTTTCAGGAATTTTTTCAATTTTTGCAATTTTCAGGCATTTTTGCGATTTTTGCAATTTTCAGGCATTTTTGCAATTTTCACAATTTTCAGGCATTTTTGCGATTTTTGCAATTTTCGGAAATTTTTACAATTTTCATGAATTTTTGCAATTTTCAGGAATTTTCGCGATTTTTGCAATTTTCAGGCATTTTTGCGATTTTTGCAATTTTCAGGCATTTTTGCGATTTTTGCAATTTTCAGGAATTTTTACAATTTTCAGGAATTTTTGCAATTTTTGCAATTTTCAGGCATTTTTGCGATTTTTGCAATTTTCAGGAATTTTTACAATTTTCAGGAATTTTTGCAATTTTCAGGCATTTTTGCGATTTTTGCAATTTTCAGGAATTTTTGCAATTTTCAGGAATTTTCGCAATTTTTGCAATTTTCAGGAATTTTTGCGATTTTTGCAATTTTCAGGAAATTTTGCAATTTTCAGGAATTTTTGCAATTTTTGCGATTTTCAAAAATTTTCGCAATTTTCAGGAATTTTTGCAATTTTCAGGAATTTTTTCAATTTTTGCAATTTTCAGGCATTTTTGCGATTTTTGCAATTTTCAGGCATTTTTGCAATTTTCAGGCATTTTCGCGATTTTTGCAATTTTCGGAAATTTTTACAATTTTCATGAATTTTTGCAATTTTCAGGAATTTTTGCAATTTTCAGGAATTTTTGCGATTTTTGCAATTTTCAGTAATTTCTGCAATTTTTGCAATTTTCAGGAATTTTCGCAATTTTTGCGATTTTCATGAAATTTTGCAATTTTCAGGAATTTTCGAAATTTTTGCAATTTTCAGGAATTTTTGCAATTCTTGCAATTTTCAGGAATTCTTGCAATTTTTGCAATTTTCAGGAAATTTTGCAATTTTCAGGAATTTTCAGGAATTTTTGCAATTTTCAGGAATTTTTGCAATTTTCAGGAAATTTCGCAATTTTCAGGAATTTTTGCAATTTTTGCAATTTTCAGGAATTTTTGCAATTTTTGCAATTTTCAAAAATTTTTGCAATTTTCAAAAATTTTTGCAATTTTCAGGAATTTTTGCAATTTTCAGGTATTTTCAGGAATTTTTGCAATTTTCGCAATTTTAGAAAATTTTTAGTAATTTTTGCAATTTTTGCAATTTTCAGGAATTTTCGCAATTTTCAGGAATTTTTGCAATTTTTGCAATTTTCAGGAAATTTTGCAATTTTCAGGAATTTTTGCAATTTTTGCAATTTTCAGGAATTTTTGCAATTTTTGCAATTTTCAAAAATTTTCGCAATTTTCAGGAATTTTTGCAATTTTCAGGAATTTTTTCAATTTTTGCAATTTTCAGGCATTTTTGCGATTTTTGCAATTTTCAGGCATTTTTGCAATTTTCAGGAATTTTTGCAATTTTTGCGATTTTCAGGCATTTTTGCGATTTTTGCAATTTTCAGGCATTTTTGCAATTTTCACAATTTTCAGGCATTTTTGCGATTTTTGCAATTTTCGGAAATTTTTACAATTTTCATGAATTTTTGCAATTTTCAGGAATTTTTGCAATTTTCAGGAATTTTTGCGATTTTTGCAATTTTCAAAAATTTTCGCAATTTTCAGTAATTTCTGCAATTTTTGCAATTTTCAGGAATTTTCGCAATTTTTGCAATTTTCAGGAATTTTTGCAATTTTCAGGAAATTTTGCAATTTTCAGGAATTTTTGCAATTTTCAGGAATTTTTGCAATTTTTGCGATTTTCATGAAATTTTGCAATTTTTAGGAATTTTCGAAATTTTTGCAATTTTCAGGAATTTTTGCAATTTTTGCAATTTTCAGGAATTCTTGCAATTTTTGCAATTTTCAGGAAATTTTGCAACTTTCAGGAATTTTCAGGAATTTTTGCAATTTTCAGGAATTTTTGAATTTTTTGCAATTTTCAGGAATTTTTGCAATTTTCAGGAATTTTTGCAATTTTTGCAATTTTCAGGAAATTTCGCAATTTTCAGGAATTTTCGCAATTTTTGCAATTTTCAGGAATTTTTGCAATTTTTGCAATTTTCAAAAATTTTCGCAATTTTCAGTAATTTTTGCAATTTTCAGGCATTTTCAGGAATTTTCGCAATTTTCGCAATTTTCGAAAATATTCAGGAATTTTTGCAATTTTCAGGAATTTTTGCAATTCTCAGGAATTTTTGCAATTTTCAGGAATTTTTGCAATTTTCAGGAATTTTTGCAATTTTCAGGAATTTTTGCAATTTTCAGGAATTTTTGAAATTTTTGCAATTTTCAGGCATTTTTGCAATTTTTACAATTTTCAGGAATTTTTGCGATTTTTGCAATTTTCGGAAATTTTTACAATTTTCATGAATTTTTGCAATTTTTGCAATTTTCAGGAATTTTTGCAATTTTTGCAATTTTCAGGAATTTTTGCGATTTCTGCAATTTTCAAAAATTTTCGTAATTTTCAGTAATTTCTGCAATTTTTGCAATTTTCAGGAATTTTCGCAATTTTTGCAATTTTCAGGAATTTTGCAATTTTTGCAATTTTCAGGAAATTTTGCAATTTTCAGGAATTTTTGCAATTTTTGCAATTTTCAGGAATTTTTGCAATTTTTGCGATTTTCAAAAATTTTCGCAATTTTCAGGAATTTTTGCAATTTTCAGGAATTTTTTCAATCTTCGCAATTTTCAGTAATTTTTGCAATTTTTGCAATTTTCAGGAATTTTTGCAATTTTTGCAATTTTCAGGAATTTTTGCGATTTTTGCAATTTTCAAAAATTTTCGCAATTTTCAGTAATTTCTGCAATTTTTGCAATTTTCAGGAATTTTTGCAATTTTTGCAATTTTCAAAAATTTTCGCAATTTTCAGGAATTTTTGCAATTTTTGCAATTTTCAGGAATTTTTGCAATTTTCAGGAATTTTCGAAATTTTTGCAATTTTCAGGAATTTTTGCAATTTTTGCAATTTTCAGGAATTCTTGCAATTTTTGCAATTTTCAGGAAATTTTGCAATTTTCAGGAATTTTTGCGATTTTTGCAATTTTCAGGCATTTTCGCAATTTTCACAATTTTCAGGCATTTTTGCGATTTTTGCAATTTCCGGAAATTTTTACAATTTTCATGAATTTTTGCAATTTCTGCAATTTTCAGGAATTTTCGCAAATTCTGCAATTTTCAGGAATTTTTGCAATTTTTCCAATTTTCAGGAAATTTTGCAATTTTCAGGAATTTTTGCAATTTTTGCAATCTTCAAAAATTTTCGCAATTTTCAGTAATTTTTGAGTTTTTGCAATTTTCAGGCATTTTTGCGATTTTTGCAATTTTCGGAAATTTTTACAATTTTCATGAATTTTTGCAATTTTCAGGAATTTTTGCAATTTTCAGGCATTTCTGCGATTTCTGCAATTATCAGGAATTTTCACAATTTTCAGGAATCTTTGCTTTTTCTGCAATTTTTGCAATTTTCAGGAATTCTTGCAATTTTCACAATTTTCAGGAATTGCAGCGATTTTTGCAATTTTCAGTAATTTTCGCAATTTTCAGGAATTTTTGCAATTTTTGCATTTTTCAGGAAATTTTGCAATTTTCAGGAATTTTTGCAATTTTTGCAATTTTCAGGAATTTTTGCGATTTTAGCAATTTTCAAAAATTTTCGCAATTTTCAGTAATTTTTGCAATTTTTGCAGTTTTCAGTAAT